CTTCTTCTGAAAAGCCCGCCGGTGCTCCACCAGATGTTGCAGCAAGTTTGGGTTGAATGCGCGGATGAGCGTGCGGTCAGGTGATCTTCAATCTGCTGGACGAAGGGGACGGCACGCGAGCCTGCAGCGATAGAGCTTGGAGTTTGCCCGTGCAGTAGGAAGCAGGGTGAACCAATGACCAGACACGCCAGCTCTCCCTGCGACCTCAAATTGACTCATCCTAACCTGGCCGGAGTTACAAAAAGCACGGACCCGGAATGTTCCTGCTTGAAGACTTTAGGAATGTGCCCATGCTGAAGCTGTGCCCAGCATGTCCTGATGCAGGTTCCCTGACGATTGACGAGTTTTTCGAGGGCTTGCAGGAGATGAAGGGTGCGGGCCAAAGTACTGAAATGTTTTTGGGTCTGCAGACCTTTGCTGCCGCGTTGACGTGTGGTTTATACATTTTGCAGTACACGGACACACAGATAAGTGTAGCCGGTGGTCGAAGGACCAATGTCTCTCAGTCTTGCAAGTCAGCAGTCAGTCCGACTTCTTTGTGCTCAGGTCCTGCTCAGGCGAAGCAGTGCTTCATGATCCGGAAGCGAGTCGAGCAGATCTGGACTGGCTCTCCAGGGATTTCTGAAACGTTGATAGCTTCGACGAGATGTTATACTGTAGGCCTGCAGAAGATCCCATGTGGTATCATGTGCACGAGCAGTGACTGAAGCTGCTTGTGCCGGTCCTGCACACCGCGACGGCTCCTGTGCCATTCCGCGTGCGTTTGTTCACTGCGAGGAATCTGCTGCTGCAATTTTCGCACGAGGTGGGGCTGTGGACCTTATTACATAGAGCATGTTCCAGCGAGCATCTGAAAGATCCTTTGCAGCCAGCTTGCCAGACAAGTACGTGTTTGTCAGATTCCGGTGCGTCCGCTAAAGGTGGAACAGGACTTGACCGACATCTCGATAGGTTCGAAGAGGCATGAAGTCCTGCATATTTGCTGTGGAATGGCTGCTCAACCTTACGATTGCCAATGCATGGCTTTAGTTCATGCGATCTCGAATATGGCTCTGACAGGCACAGAATGGGCCGCATCCTCAGTTTGGCGTTGCCCCTGCACCAGCCGCATTCCGGCGCTATCTTAGTGACAACTTTGCAGCATGTGGAAGCATGTGCAGCTCTAGCCGGAGTTGATGAGCTTAGTGGTCATCGAGCATGCAGCGTCATGCAGCCCGTGCTTGTCTGGTGTGCCGAAACACGCGAAGCCAACGAGGCTCGAGACGTGTTCTTGGGTGAGCTGCTGCAGCCTGTTCCAGTGGTAGATGCTCAGGCACGGTCCTCTCGCGGGCGCGTCTGGGCAGCCGAAGCCCAACTCCGCGGGGACCTAAGACTCCCAGAACTTACGACGGGGTCTCGAGGACAACACGAAAGAAGTCTGAAGAAAAGGCTAGCAAGCATGTGCCCCGTGTGTCTATGACGAGTTTATAAGATGTGTGCTGGCTGCAGGAGCTTAGCCACTTAGCCGAATCTGCGCCCACCTTCTGTAGCCTTCTGTAGCCGATGCCTTGCTCTTGCTGCTGGTTGCAAGCGACTGAACAGGATTGGCCGACTGGCGAAGGCACCCCGAAGTGGGAGCTGCCATGGCCTCGGCACAATTTGGCTGCCTACTTCCCTCTGTCGGTCTGTCTGTCCGAGGGCTCGCAAGCTCGAACGAGGATGTGATGAGCCCTGCCCTTAGTTCTGCCAGTTGCCATCTTTGCGCCAGGGCTTGCCACACAGCCCGGAATGCCAAACGCAGTGTGCGCCCATCAGGAGTGGATTGCTTCCCCAGCATTGCCGAGTCCGTCATCAGTGCGGGCACAACCTCCCCCAAGGACCTTCCCAGCATTTTTTTCAACATCTTCTACGGAAGCACACTCAGAATCATCTTGAGCATTGCTTCTGTCTGAGACCACCCTTGTTCCTGCCAGACTCCAAAGCAACATCACACTTTCTCCGACGGAAGCGCCATCGCCCAGGCCTGGGGAGCCGAGAGCAATGAGATCTGCTGTGGGTTATTATTATTAGTATCAATTATTATTATTATTCTTATTCTTATTATTATTATTATCATTATCATTATTATTGTTATTATTATTATTATGATTATTATTATTATTATGATTATTATTATATATATATAGAGAAATAACGAGTTCAATTAATCTCTAAATTTTCGTGTATATAAATTATATATGTATGTACATACATACATACGTACATACATACATACATACATACATACATACATACGTACATACATACATCGATAGATAGATAGATAGATAGATTGATTAGTGGGAGTGGGGGCCTCGCAGACGGTTGTCTTGGCTGAGTAGCATGTCGCTCACAGCCACTTTCCAAGCAATAGCCTTTATAAACTGCACTGTGGGAATTCCCCCTAAATCACCATTTACAACGGCTTCGAAGTGGGCATACCTGGAGTACTTCAGCTGTCGCGGTGCAGATCGGCATGACAAAACGGATGCATGCTTGAGCTGCAGGCCCTCTCCAACTTTGTCTTTGATAGCATACATCTGCAGATGCCACGCCTACTAGATCCTATGGTAACTTCATTCCAGGCCCTCACAGCGTCAGATGAAAGCCATGAAGCTCTGCACAGGTTCTGGAGCGCCTGGACGGCCTGTCGCGCGATGTGCGATCTGAGCTGCGGCATATGAACTCAAGGACCGTTCCGGTTCTTGAGAACAGGACTCACCATCGTTGACCAAAGGCCTGTAGTTAGCTGTGCCCAAGCCCGGCAATGCTCATCTCTAGGTTGCTTGGGGCCGGTTGCACGAGCATGCCAGCATGTTGCGCCTGCAGGATGACTAACCTGGAGGCCCACCGTGCCGCTTCAGAAGGCTTGCGCCTGCCAAAGCTTCTGGCAGGCGGCTTCCCAACACTTGGCGACACGATTGGAGGAGCTTGCAGGTCTTGCTGAGGACAGACACCATTCCCAGGTATACCATGCAGCCACACGCTTGAAAGGAGGGCCACACAGACAAAGATCCGAAGGAAGACTGTCCCCAACTCGGTCGACTGTTGCTCTAAGTAGCGGCTCTCGCCCAAAGCCTTGAATCGGGTTCTACAGAGGACAGCGCGTCATGACTGAACCGAGCAAACTGCCTTGCCAATTCCGCATGTTGCACGAAGGTGTGACACCTCCAGATCTTGACAAATCCTGCGCATGTCAGTGCGATTCTCGGGTACATGTTGGCAGTGCCTGCATCTGTGGTTGTGCATGTTCAGTGCTGTTCAGCAAAGTCGCATAAAGTCGCAGATGTTGTACTTCACATGGGCAAAAATGTCCTGGGAGCGGCTAAGAGAATGCACGCTCTCCTTGAAGACCCGCCTCCTGCGCTGAGGGTGGTCAGTCGAGTCTAGCCTAGCCAGTGCTGGAGCGACGTGAGTGCAGCTTTAGACTAGAGTCACGTTTGGTCCATCCGAGTTAAGGTGAATGAACTCTAATTTAGTCCATTTCTAGGTTTGTGCAAGCAGAGTTCATGAATTTCGCTGAATCCTGGTCACGCAGACGGCTACGCGAGGAGGTTGTCAGCCACCAGAGCTGACCCTCCCTCCTTGCAGTCGAAAGTGTCTACTGTCCGGCGCCTGTGCAGATAAAGTTCGCTTCTTCCGGCGACAAAGATAGAGCGCTGAGGTTTAAATGGCGCCCTCCCGGTTTATCGCCAGCTGCCGGCTGTTGCCCAATAGTTGTATACTTGCTTCAGGAGCTTAAAAAACCAACGAGTTTTCCTAGCAACTGTTGGGCGGCACTCCCCCAGAACACCGAGAGTGTACTCTTGGGGCGGTGCTCGGCTTAAAGGCGCCTTTGAGCAGCTTTCCAGACCCCTCGGCTCCGACACGGTTCGTCTGCCCAGGCAGGGAGTCAGTCGAGGTGGCTTAGCCTTCGGGGGCTAAGCCGTGAAGCGTGTCAGTAGCATCTCCCAGATGCTCCACATGCACAGCAAACTTGCACAAAGCAGCGCGACGAGTCGTTCAAGAGAATTGCCATTGCCAAGCACTGCCGGCATGCCCCTCTTTGTTGCTATTGACAGCTCTGTGTTTCGGTGTCGCTTCGCCTCGTGGGCCAGTAGCTCTGCAACAGAGCCATGTACAGGTCTGACCGGCATTTGTGAAAGCTTCCACCCGGGCGCGTGAGTGTGTGATGTTAGGGCCAGCAGTAGCCGAGGCCTCGACGAGGGTGATCAGGCACTTCTATGGCCATCAAAGCTTTCGCGGAAGTGCCGGCCTTCTCTTTCTGAGCAGAAATTGCCTAGGCTGGAGGTGAAGGAACTGACAACAAAGGCTCGCGAGTTCCGACAGCTCCTGTGCTGAAACGATGTTGCCGCTTCAGGCATGGCCCACATGCGGCCGCTTGTCCCTGCTGGCGCTCGGGTGCAAAAGAGCTTGCAGCCAGTGAAAATCCCAGTGGCAGTGCCTTTCTTGGTCGCCGCTTGAAGGCGCCGGCTCTGAGGCTTAAGCTGCCTAAGTCGAAACCAGAGAGCTCAGGAATGTCTAGTTCACGGTTGCGGAGAGGCAGAGAGGTTGTGACAGGCTTGCAGACCTGCTCCGACTCTCAGTTGCGCTTTTACATATCACGTTTCGTGCTGGAGACGTGAATGTCGGTTCCTGATATGTTGTTTGGTCATCCTGACAGGACAGGTGTACAGTGCGAGGCTAGCGAACCCAGCTTTAGTCGACACGATGGCGGGTAGCTCTCGGCGGCCAAAGGAAGCCAAGAATGCACCGAAAGGAGAGCAAGGCCAAAGTTCCAGCTTCATGCAGGGTGTCTGCATGGGTGCAGTGACTGCATTGCTTTGTTTGTTTGTGTGTATGTGTGTGCGCGTCTGTCTATCTGTGTCTGTGCTTTTCACGCCGCTGAACAGGCCCCGCCCTGTAGCGAGCCACACTTCTTTGACTTGCGCAAAACGCCAAGCCCTTGGCGCGACTAACAGTTTGGGCATGGTTTGTGCCAGGAAATCCCGCTACGGCTGGTTCGGAGCCTGCAGGATCCCGCCGCTGGCATCTCAGAAGCATTGGAACTTGACTAACTTGAACCTGCAAGCTCACGAGGCCAGCAGGTGTATCAGTTATCGGAGGGCCATTTGTTGTGGGATTTTGTTTTTTGCGCCTGTGTTTTTCTGAGGATGTGGATAGCTTTGCTGGGGCCTCTGGTTGCAGTGGCCGTGCAGATGTTTCGAACCGGGCAGCCGACGGCACAGCAGAAGGGTCGAAGCTGGGCAGACTTCGGTGGATTGGCAATATTTGGGCTTGTGATTCTGATTACTAGCTGCTGCTAGCTGTGGTGACAGTCCAGGAAAGCAGACGGACTTCGAAGTTTGGGCAACTGCCAGAAGAGGACTTCCAGATGCTTTGCAGATGACGCTTACGCTGGCAACTCCGTAGTGACGTCTACGAAAACGCAGTTCAGAATTGAAGCACTCCCCTCTGTTGGGGGAACTCCTGTGCATCGTGAACAGGTCATGAAAAGGCTTAGTTACTGGACTGGAATTGTGGTTGTGGCGGAACCTACCAGCATCCAAGGAATGTAACGTGCTCGAAAACTCCGGGCGGAGACGGAACAGGAGGCCATGCCGGTCGTCCTCACAGTCGCTGCTTGTTAGCTTGTGTCGCATGCAGCCTGCATTTTGAGAATGTGTCGTAGATCAATGTGGCCTGCGATGCGGGGGTCAAAGTATATACTTGAATCTTGATGGAGCCCGCTTCCTTGGCCGTTCGTGCTGCTTTTCCTAGATGAAGAAGCCCCTGCATGCCCGGACTCATCAGGCACCGGCCTTTGCGGAACTCCCCGTCGAGGCAATCGATGTGCTCGATTTGTGCTGGACGGAGCTATACCTGCAGCGGACGTGCAGGAGAGGGCATCATGCGCCAATTTGTCCCCATAAACGTCCGCTGCCGACCTTCTCGGATTTTTCCAATTCATCTTTCTTCTGAAGCCGATGCCCGATGCGAGTGTCGGTGCCTGTGCCGTGCATCTTGAGTCTCTGGGTTTGAAATTCGGAGTTGCGACAAAACGGCACTGGCAAACATCATAGCAGCTCGCACGGCACCGGGTTGTGCAGGATCAGTAGCAGCAGTAGTAGTAGTAGTAGTAGTAGCAGCAGCAGTAGTAGCAGTAGTGGCCGTAGCAGCAGTAATAGTCGTAGTAGCAGCAGCAGCAGCGGCAACATCAGCTGCAGCTTCGTACTTGCCATCGTGGTTGCTACTACCACTACTACTACTACTACTACTACTACCACTACCACTACTACTACGACTACGACTACGACTACGACTATGACTACGACTACTCCTAATCCTCGTCCTCCTCCTCCTCCCCCTCCACCTCCTCCTCTCCTGCATGCTGCTGCTCCTACCACTACCACTAGCACAAGCACTAGCACTAGCAATTCTACTGCTGCTGCTACAACAACAACAACAACTACTACTACTACTACTACTACTACTAACTACTAGTACTAGTACTAGTACTAGTACTGGTACTAGTACTAGTACTAGTACTAGTACTACTAGT